CATACCCTTCGTCGATAAGCTTTTTCCAGAAACTTCAGGTAAGGGGAGGTGGAGTGGTAAGTAATTTGGACGGTGAGCTTAAAGGCAGTTGGCACGATGGTTTCCTACTTAGCCTAAAATGCTAGTAGGGCGCTGTATAGTGGGGAAATGGCGAAAGAACGGAGTGAAACGGTCAAAATCCGAAGAAAAAGCCTCCGTTCTCAGTGACTTGTAAATCGATTTCGGACGAGTTTCCCGTAGGCATCTTACCAATCACCGCTACCGAAGATACGGCTGCATATGTGTACCCATATGCATGCATCACGGCCGCTTCATACCAATCCCTTCGCTTCATAATTTGCTTAGCAAATGAATGAATACGAGCGTCAGGAACGGTCGTCCATTTGTGGGCGGGCGGGCGTGGCGGGCGTTTGGGACGTAAAGTTGTGGCTTGATAGGGCCCTTATAAGGGCACCTTCCTCGGGCTATGCCGCCTGCCCAGGGTCGCGGAATTCTATCCTGCCAGGATTATTGATTCTAGTGCCATCAGCCTTGGGTGATTTATCGTGCCAACTGCAAGGTGTAGCGATTGCGTCGCTATCAGTGTCCCGCTGTGAAACCCGTACACAGCGGTAGAGAACTACTAGAAGTTAGCGCGTTTGACTATAGTTAGGCGAGCAACTGGTCGTGCGGCAGAGCTGTCCGGGAACGACATCTAAGTGCTTCTACCTTTCAGCGCCGTTTCCATGCACTTTCCACGGATGGATGGAAGTGCCATACCATGCACGTGTATTCGTGGAGCTCGGTCCGTCTTTACGCTTTACGTTCCGTGTGTCAAACAAGTAAGTGTTGTCGAAAGTAAAAGAGTCAGGGCGTTACCTGAGAACCGATTTGTTCCATTACATCCTCCATAATTTCTTCAGGCACTACTTCAGTGGCAAGAACCCATTCTTGGAGAGTCTAAAATGAAACAATGGTCAGAACAATGCACCTCATCACTACAACGCATCATGAAAATATCGATTGGAATCTCCTCATAATGCAGTTCAAACCTCTTGCGGAACACCTATCATCGCAGAAGACGACTCATCTCGTGCCGTTCCAGTGGATTTCGCAGCTTTTCCTCCACCGCCACCTCGCCCGCCTTTCTTCTTTCCTCCACCTTTCTTCGAATCTCCCCAGTCATTATCAGTCTGTAAAGGCACACTTCAACGTCGAGCTAGTCGAGCTGGTAAGATCTGTATCCCTTCAAAATACTGATATGCAAATGAGTGGAAAAACATAGAGCTTAGCACTGCCAACACTGAGAGCGCGTTCATACTTTACGACCCGATCGCTTGGATTGCGCGATTGGATCACTCGAGGATGCGATCCTACGATCCAAGCGATCGGATTACAAAGTATGAATGTGCTCCGAGTTGGTGTGCTGCATGCTAAATGAGTGAAAGGATACCTATATGATTTCTAGTTGAGCCGCATCGAACAAGAACGAAAAGGTCCGCAACAACAGAAGAAGGCGATCGAGGTGCGTGCGTTTTCTTTGTATCTCTCCCATCACTCTTATCCATCACATTTCTCTTTTTTACCCACTGAATTTGTATTTCCTCTAAAATTTTGCTATTACATGGTTCGTGTCAAGTTCATAAGGTTATATCAGTGAGAAGCTGAAT